ATTCGTAGAATATCGCGATAAAAAAAGTGTTGAGTAATTTATTCGTATTAGTATCTAAACTTGATTCAAGTAGTCTCCCAGTTTGTTAGTTTCGCTCGTTAGAGACAGTAGTTCGTTCTTGCAAATGACAGTTCAACATCGCATCCAGTGCAGCCTTAGGTAAACGCAGCAATAAAGGTAAGAGTCATTAGTAAATTTCAATCTTCTTTTCAAGTTTTATTTCTTGTAACTTTCTGTTTTAGTTTTAACCCGAACTAAATATCGGTCCCTGGCCGTTAAACGGAGTCGCCAACAGGGCAGGATATTAAATAAAGCGAGTTCAAATCTATTAGCTGGAGGTTTCCTTGATAAAATCTTTTTCTTCGCCACGTTCGAAATGCGGTCACCATTTTAATCTGCTCATAACATAACATCGTCCGAGAGGATTTTGTCCAATTTTTTCTTTAACGCACATATAAAATAGCCCGAAATTTGTACACAAAAAAGGGTAGATACGTCAACTGGAATAACTAACTCAAAAGGCACTTACCTCCAGCTATAAAAATTCTAAGTGGGTTTAAATTTTCGCGGCTGAAAATAATAAAATAAAGAGAGAAATGTTTAGAAGCTGCAACACTGTAACAAACATGGCGAAAACTTAAGCTTGGGATTCTAAATGGCCACTTAAATGGCGAGGGTATTTAATAGGGATGCGTCACAAAACTTTTCGTGTTCTGGCGCCAAGAGAATTTCTTTCGAATAGAGACATTTCAGTTAAATTGAGTGTAGCTGAAAGTAATCAAGTGCTACCACGGTTTCGATGTACTTCACTCTGATTGGCCTCGAAAAAATGCACCGTTTTCTCAACAAATCAGATTCAAAACTTCAATCAATATTCAGTTGAGTAAATAAAGTAATCCATTGCATGGGTTGCATGAGTCTTGCTTTACTTCGCTTTGTAATTGGTCCAGAAAACTCGCGCCATTCTCTCAACCAATCAGCTGCAAAACTAAAGCCAACCACAACTTGGTTGCCCGCGTTTTCCCGCTTTTAGGCAATTTGTTTATTCTCAGTTGAATTCTCATTGGCTCTTCAGGGTATTTTCCTTTCTTCTGATCAGCGGTTGTTATAACTTTGATTTAGTTTTACTTGACCTGTCAGCGGGATTTGACAGTAGTGACTAGAAACTAGTAACTAACCTTTCGCCTTCTAATGTAAGTTTGCTAAGAATCCATTCATAGCTGCAGAAGTATACCCCTATACTTGGCACATCTATGAAACACAACATAAAAATCAAAATGAGATATCTTGAAACTTAAGCAATTTCTACAAGTACAGTACTCTTGATTTATTATATAAGAACCTTCAAGTAAAAGGGGCAGAAGTTTGGAACTATAATTCCAAGAATTTAAACTATCTTCTCCTGCGGGAAAGCCGTAAGAAGGCCTTAAGCAGTGCGACTCGTGTCAAATCTTCCTGCGGGCGGAGAAACGCGCGTCCTGCAACGCTAATAATGGGGGGGCTGCTGGCGAGCTAACAGTCACTAAATTAGAGTACCCACCTCTTAGAAGAGTTGCGAACGTTCCCCTATACAAAGACCTTATTCCTTTTTCCTTGTAAAGTTGTTTGGCACAATTCAGTGGACCTTTGTACTTTCTTTCGCCCCCGGAACTTTGCTGGATCTAGAGATATAAATATTCATCGGTAATTAGCGATATGTACAGTAAATTATTTATCGACATCAGAGGATCTCAACGGCCCGGGTGTGTTTTTTCTTTCTCCCTTTTTCTCTTCTTTCTTTTTCTTTATTTCTTTTTTTTTTTTAGATATTTCCATAGGAGGGTATTCATTGGCTGATTGGTTCAAAATTATATGATTCCTTTCGATTCCCATGGCAAGGGTTCCCTAGGAGCTCCTAAGAACGACCCTGGGAACGAGGTAGCCGTCACGCTCCATCAAGTTTATTCTCAGCGTTTGATCTAACATGGCCACGTAACTATGAAGGACGAACTAGTAAGTATTTTCAATGATCCTTTGTAATTTTACCCACGTAACACGTGAAAGATTTATAAGCCTCGCAAGTAGGTTACAATAAAGATATTTCAGAGAGGGAACATGAACAAAAAATCGACGAGATTGGAAATTTGCTTCAGCTGTAATAGCACTCCTCCATGTTAAGCTAGAGCACTTTTACATAAATTATAAGCACGAACACTTCAATTGTAAGCAAAATGAATCACTAGTTTACCATACATATCATTTTAGTAGCTTGCTCCATCAAATTTAATTGAAGAAAAGACATATTAGTTCGTTTCAAGGAACAGCATCCAAAACATTCGGTACAGGAAGTTATAGTTTAGTATGCTTTCAGAGTGGTGACGGTATCGGTCTTCAATTGCATAATTCTACTCAACTGTTACCAGTTGAGCCGATCTAAGGCTGTTATTTCGCATAGCTGATGCAAGAGGGGTTACCAATCGTTCCGCCTACGAGAGATTCCGCCAATAACCAGTTCGACAACGTCGTGACATCAAAGTCCTTTCGCTTGCAACCAAATAGGCATTTCACTGATGTATCGTGATACTCGCAACGATTCGTTTTAATACAGTCCTAGCTATTTCACAGAACTGGAAGATTACAATACGTAATCAAATCACATGAAAGACCCTTGAACTACCATGATTTTACTGATTCAATCAAATGCAAAGATGAAAACATATTTGACTACTTATCACACAATTGCTCGAAACATTTCTGGAACGCGCTAATGTTTCACGTTAGTTAATGGTTAGTAAAGTCCAAAGGTCTTGGGCTTCCACATGGAAAATGATAAACTTTATGCATCAAGTCCTTTTTAGTGATCAGAAGTTTACTTGACCCAGCTTTTTTATTCATCGGCGGAACTTGTGCAACTTCTCAGCCTCTGCAAATGATCTTCAAGATTGAAACTAAACGCTTCCCTGAATTTACAATGAATGTTTGATCGAAGGAAGTTTCGCGCGGAAAAGAAATTCCATAAGAGACAATTCCATGTGTTTGTTCGTAATAATTCCATCGCATGCACCGAAGCAAACATAGCTTACTGTTAATCACAAGGCTATCGAGGAAATTTTCGTGACACAGCACAGTAGAGTGTTACGCCTCGGTGACCCTTTCGTCGCTTGACTGAATCAACCACCGCGTGAGCATAATATATGCGGTGACCACCTTAAAAACGTGTTGTACAAAGATACTAGAATTTTATGATCCTTATCCCGAGCTTCGTGTCTATGCTAGTTTTGGCTTTTGCTTTAAGAGACTTAAGAGGTGAGAAAAATTGACAAGTCACAGAGCAATTATGATTAATTAACGCCGCGATAATAAACATCTTGCTAATTTTAGAAATCAAGGTGCACTTTTCCTTTCTTGTCATGAGAACGCAAAGACAGCCAATCCGTACCATCAGGGATTCGAAGGTATGACAAAACGCTCAGCCACTATTTCGAGATGGTAGCCACTTTAAATTAATGATGTAAGCAATGTGGAAGGCTTAAGGACAAACAGACGAGACCGACAGCAGCATAAACGAGGCTTGCGGCTATAAATATATAAAGTGTATGAAGCGCGAGCGAATAAGGAAACCTGCTAGAGGGGGCCTGGATCGATAGCTGAGATACGTATGACAACCATCAGAAGACCTTTGTTTTGCCCGTTGGGATCTGTGCGGGCCAACTCGTGGTCAGTGATTTTAAGTAAGGCTTTGCCTGTGCTTCAAGGTTTTGTGTGGGCTACTGACGAGTTGCTAATCGATTGAGCGCACTCAAAACCGCCAGCTGCGCCGATTAAGAACTGGCCTAAGACGACAGCGAACTGTTATTCGGCGAAACCACTCTAAGGTGAAACAATCTCAATGCAGGAGATAATTGTAACTTTCTCTTACTCAGTTCCTCATTTAGTACATCTTCAAAACCCAATTTCAGCAATCATGCAACCCAAATGACTTGTGTTCCTTGATTCAATGATTTTAACCATTTGACCATCACTTTCATAGGACCACATCGCATAGGTGTATTAACATTTGGTTTTTGCAGATTATGTACCCATTGTATGGAATCTGATTTCAAATAATGAATACTCAGAATAAAAGTAATTCAATAAAGGGCCTTGTGCCAGGAGCCCTTGGCTGCCCAGCAAAGGAATTTGGTGGTGGTGAGAAGACAGTGGGTGAACTTGGCAGTCCTCAGAAGTTTCTCTACTGGCAATTTCCCAATTGGAAGACCAACAAGAAGACTGTCATGGTTCCTCCCGCCTACAAACCCACTGAATCAGGCTACACAATTTCAAAAGATGGCAAATATGCTGATGAAGATGACGTCAATATAAGAGGAAGACAAGGAGAGAAACTTGTGTACGATCATCTGCAAAAAAATGGCCGAGCAAAGAACCTGGGCATGTTTGTCATTCATGGATTTGACCTTACAGAGATTACCAAGTGGAATAAACGATGCAAAAGTGAAGATTCCGTGCCTAAGTCAGATAAAGTACCTAAAACAGGTGAAAGCGACTTTGTCATCTTTCACCATAAAAAAGGCGTCATTCTACTCGAGGTTAAGAGTTTGAAGAAGTCTGAGAAAGAATTTCTAGGATCTAAAATCATTGAGGCTAAAGACCAACTGGATAGAACCAGGACAGTTGTTGAAGCTTTCGCTGTAGTGAACAATTCCAGCGATGAACAATCTGATCGCTTGGAGCCACCTCCAGTGATGATGGTTATTGCTCTTCCTTCCACGAAGAGAGGTAGTCCACATGCTCACGTGGATGACACTTTATTAATGTATGAGGAAGATCTTGCAAGTCCGGAGAGCTTTTCAAAATGGTGGTATGACAACATTGAATCACCTCCCTGGATGGCCTCCACCCCAGACATCACCAACAAGGCCTATGAATTGGCCTTATCAAGAATCTTAGCTGTACGACATCTTGGCCCTGTAACTGAGTCTGAATACACAGCTGACATAAGCTATACCTTAGACACCTTCAAGCATCTGGGAAACTTGGCTAGTGGACGCTTCCGCAGGATCAAGGAAGTTGAACACCCCCATCTCTTTCGCTGGTGCAAGTACATGATGTCTCAGGTCAATCTACCTATTGCCAAAGTTTCATTCAAAGAAGCTTTGCACACCCTTAACAGCGTCAATGTTACTGCTTGTAAGGCAAACCTTTTGAAGGTTCTTAATGACCATCTTTCTGATAAAAAGTTCCTTCTGGGGAACAAGATGGCCGGTGAAGACACAAAGATATTCCAGTACCTTTGGACAGTGTACATCATTGACATTGACAGCATAACCAGATTCATGAATAGAGTTACTGATGCAAAGAAGAAAGATATAATAGTTGACACGGCCAAAACTCTGACAGACCTAGGTTTAGCCAAAGCAGATAATGTTACCGGACTAAATGAGCTCTCGAAGTTATTAGACAAAAGCCAAAGTGGATTTCTAGAAGGGGAAAGCTGCACAAATCTGGACAGAGAACTGTGTGAAAACCTGGCCGGAGGAAATGTCAGGATTCTGGCCCTTCCTCTCAAGAAGCGATGGGCACCCGTGTTTACAATGGATCAGCTTGCCGCGTTTGATGGACCAAAGAAACAGCTTATCATCGGTGGGCCAGGGAGTGGGAAGACAGAGTTGATGAAGGCCAAGGCTCTCATACTCGCAGAGAAGTTGCCACCTGGAAAAAAGATTTTATACTTGATCCACTGTGACAGGAAAAACGTCTTTCCTAATGTCATGAGAAAATTTTTCAACGATAACAACGATAACAACGATAACAAGGAGATGTGTGTGGATGTACTGACAGTTGAGTTAGAGGGGGAACATCGCAAGGCCTTTGAAGACCAGCAAGCTCAGTTAAAATGGGAAACATACAGCCATGTTTTCATTGACGAGCTATGGATTGGTTCAAAGATCAGATACGAAATGCAGCAGGACGGTAATATGAATGTAATCGACGAGCTAACAATTCCCAAACAAGCATTAGAGAGCATTGAGGGCTATGTTTGGATGACCTCTGTCTTTGACTTTAAGAAAGAGTGTTTTGAGAAAATCAGCAAAGAAGAAATCACAGAAGTGTTAACCTTGCAGAGACTGGAAGGGAAAAAGAATTTGCTTTACAAAAAGCTCAGTACACCATCTCTTCTGGAGGTTCTGGAAAAAAAAGGTGGAGTCATAAGTAGGATCAGGCACCCTTTGAGGAGTGTGAACAACATTGTAAGGCTGCTACAAGACTACAGTTCCTTGTATCGTGAGAGAAGTTTTCCTTATGGTGTAGAGAACATGCTCAATCACAATGTGGATGGGCAGGAAATCACCTGGATTGCTGTCCAACCAGAGGGAAATGATGTCTCACCAGAGAGAGCACAACATGCTGGACATTCACATGTGGACAGGGATCATCTTACAATGCTAATGTACAACAAATGCGTGCAAGTCATTGAACAAGTTATCTGGTTCAATCGTGACCTTCGTCCACCTTTATTGATGAAAACAAGCAAGAGTCAGTTAAAGCTACAGCTTAATCCTGATGATATTCTGGTGGTCAATTTTGTTGCACGCTATCAGTCCAAACATAGTTTAGCTGGTGGTCTCAGCTTGGAAAACATTCCTGTCTGTGACCTGAATGACCAAAGAGCATCTTCAGCTGAGGATGAATTTCTTGACAGGTTACGTGGTGGAGTGTGTCTCTTGAATTCAAAGTCAAGAAAGGATTCAGCTTGCCTTGATGGTGCAGAGTGGCCCATGGTAATTGTGCTTCTGACACCTGAACTTCTGTTAGGTGATGGGAATTCTGGGTTTGAACCTGTTCGTAACTATGATCCGTACATAGCCATGTTCCGTGCTCAGGCGAAACTTGTTGTGATATCAGACTCATGGAGGTCATCCCGTGACTTCCTCAACACAGTCAAAGAAAAAAAAGCCTAGGTAACTTGGAATCAAAAATGAGGCCCTGCTTTCCTAGCTGGTAATTTTTGAGCTGAAAAAATTATATGAGTCACATGAAGGAGCAATTTTCCCTGTTAGTTTTTCAGTCATTGTCAAATGCCATCTACAAATGGGCAATGTGAGAGGTACACTCCCTCTGCCCCCATGTACCCTGACAAGATTTTCTTATTTTTCAGATATTTTTTGTTAAATCTTGTTTGAGCTTATGTAAAGTGGTCTCAAATAGGGGGGAAGCTGCAGTCTTATAACCTTGCTTTGCCCCTTCCCCCCTTATTTAGTTTCAGTAGGATTGCTTGCCAAGTAAGTAACATAATGACAGGCAACTGAACGATGTAAATGTAGTTCAGTTTAATCAGTTTGGATTGTCAATTTAAGATCAAGGAATTATAAATCACTCACCTAACAACAAAACTTAAATGTGAGGTGTTTCTTCCATCAAATTGTGGTTTTCAATCATTGTATATATTCAATTTTAGTTAGCATGACTTTTTGTCTATAATATAATGTAATAATAATAATAATAATCATAATAATGATAACAATATGCAATCATTTTGGGGAATAATGTGCAAACTGCTCTTGGTGCAAAGCTTTATATACTTCTGAATATAACCATTAAATTTACACCAACTGTTAAGAGCATATTCCTGAGAATATAGAAAAACTGAATTTTTTATTTCATTTTGCCATAGCAATCCCTTGGACAAATGTATTTAAGGAAAAATAGTTCAAGGTTCCAGTGACTCATTTCAAGGGAGAAATTTTCAAAAGTTTGAAACTTCGGTTTTTACCTAATTGAATAATATTATGCAAATCAAGACGGTCAATGTGCAAATCAAAGGAGTGTTTTGAAAAAATAAAAAAAACTAATGAAAAAAACTTTGATGTTTTGGGGCAGTCCATTGCTTCTCGATATTCTCAGAAATATGTTCCTAAGGTCCCTACAGAAAACTGCCACAATTAATAAATAACAACTAGGAAACAGGAAATTCATTTCTTTAAATAGCAACTACCACATACATTATGAGCTGATTTATCAAAATGCAGGAAAATCATAAATCATGTTACCTGTAAAAGACACTTAATCCTATCACCAGGAGTTACAATAGCTGCAGCACAAAACCCACCAAACATTCCAGAGGTAAAGTTTTGGAAATTCCTGTTTGATTGAAAATGAAGATGTGCTTTTAATCAAAAATGGATCTATGCTTAGTTGATCCTAAGAGAGTCTGCAGTTAGTGATAATGGTCATTAGGACCAGCAACCACTGACACCCTGAGAAATATGCCATAGATGCATGTTTACTTACAAGTAACAATAAGAAGGTCTTGTACACAAGTTTAATTTCTGACAAAACTATACTAAAGCATGTGCTCTGATTGGCTAATACATTTGATCCATTTGGCCATAGGTTGCATGCTGATGTCAGTTTGTTTTGCTTTTTTTTTCCTACACAGAACAAAACCTAAAAAGAAATGGTTGGCATGTATTGTGCAACCATCAAGTTATGGATGCATTTGGGAGGTTTCCCAAGCACTTAAGAAGCTAGCTGGAGTCGCACTCAGCTTCTTGAGTGCTAGGCAAACCTCCCAAGTACCTTCACAACCAGATAATTGCATGCTACACACAAACCATTCCTTAATTCTACTATTATCAGGAAACACATTTCTTAAGTTCTGATCTGTTAACTCCTAAGGGAGACTAACATCTAATTTCTCCTCACTGCATCTTTTCTGAATTATTAGTCACAAGTATAGGGGAAATGATTGCCAATGTAAGATTTGTAGGCTTTGTGAAGAAGCCCTTGATTTTTAAACAAATTTTATTAAATCAGCACCATGTAAGAAATGTAAGGAAGACATTATGGAATATATGCAATTTATATTTAGGGAGTAGGGGTGAAAAATTATCTATTTAAGGTGATTTCTTGACTTGCTTTTAATTGCCCTTTTCTTTTATAGGTTATCAGTTATTTGATAATTCTGATAAGAGGGAAAAAGTTAAATAAATCTAAGAAATGTAACAGAAATTGTTAGTACATGATTCTTTTATCTGCTGAGAGCAATCACTGCATAGATCTTTTACCTTTTTAGTCAGTAAACTGTGGAATGCGTTGCCTCCAACGGTTAGAGAGTCCAAAGACACTGTATCTTTTAAGCGGGCTTTTAATGTTCATATGACTTGAAGAGCTTTTTAAATTTTTAAAGTTGTTAAATTTTGTATGTAGATTATTACTAATAGGTAGTGTTTATTAATTAATTGATTAATTTTATCCTTTTACATTTTGTACAATTTTATTGTTTTACATTAATACACATGTACATGTTTTAATGAGCACTCATGAGCTCCTTGGTGTTACATGTATAAATAAAAGTATTGTATTGTATTGTATTGTAATCACTGTTAAAAAGTTAACTTATTCAAGTCAGCAGAAAGGATTTTTTGCAAGTTATGGTGATGAGAAAACAGGTTTACTCAATCTCGATTAGCAGCTTCTCTGGGTTTTGAGAGAAAAGGAAGGCACTATTCACACCAGCCCTGCTTCATCCTCATTCTGTGAAAAATCATCCCATAGACCTCTGGTGTACCTAAAATTACCTTCCCTTGCTTTCTCCTGTTCCTTAACTCTTTAACTCCCATAAGTGACCAAGAG